TTGATCAGAGGATTTTCATCAGACTTATCGCTGACAGTGGCGTAGTTGGCCTGGCGAAGCTGGGGGGGCCGGGTGGGGGCGAGCTGTAGCCGTAAGAGGTCGAGCAATGTTCACCAAAAAATTTTCGGCAAACCTTTTTCATGACCTAGAACTCCCTCGCCTTGTAATACAAGGCTTGTATACCACCCACCTTGCTGAGTCAGGGGTGCTGACTCAGCGCACGCGTGCACAGGGCATACTCTGCACGCGTGCGCTAGAATCTTTCATCGGTCTTCATCTATCTTTTCGAAATGTCCTCATCGTCAAGCTCGAGCTCCAGCTCCAACACCGCTAATTGTGCCTTTGATATCATGATGAAGCGCGCTCATGAAGGCAATGAAGAGACCGCTCAGCATGCCAAGCGGACTAAGATTTTAGCGGCTTCTAATTTGCCAGAAGATATCGCCAAGTCCAAAAGCGATGAGCCTTGTCAGCCGAAGAGTGGTTTCGCTGCAAATGCACAAGGTCGCCCCTTCCAGTTTGATTGGTACACTGGGAACCCGTGGCTTGAATGGAGTCGAACTGTCAATAAGGCATACTGCTTTCGGTGTCGTTTCTTCTATCCGCCTCCGAATACTGGATTTGGCACGGCAAGTATCTCCTTCGTGTCCGCGGGGTTCTCCAACTTCAAAAAAGGTGTCGACCAAGCACGACGAGGCCACCCTGTCAGAGAATCGCAGTTACATCAAGTCCGTCTGCAAGGCCCTACACTACTGTAGTCTTCAGAATGTGGCTCTCAGGTCTCACTTTGAGGGCGGTGAATCCGACAATAGGGGGAATTTTTTGGAACTGATGAGGCTGCTCTCTGAGTTCGATAAGGTCACTGCCTCAAGATTGGCCGAAGGGCCGCGGAATGCGGTCTACCTGAGTCCACAGATTCAAAATAGCTTGCTGAAAAGCATGGCTAGCTTGATAGTGAAGGATATCGTTGAAGAAGTTGGCGATCAACCCTATTGCCTCCTCGGGGATGAAACAAGAGATGAGGGTGGAACGGAACAACTGGCCCTTTGTATACGTTATTCCAAGCTTGAGAAAATCGGTGACCCCTTAGTTATCCAGGAATCTTTTCTCGGATTTATAAGCTTGGAAAACCTCGACTCCTCGGCCATAGTCGACAGGTTGATACATCGCCTGGATAGTATCGCGCTTGACGCATCCCGTTGCACCTCACAAGGGTATGATGGGGCATCGGTGATGTCAGGTCACCGCAAAGGAGTGTATAAGGTACCCATGCTTTCGTGGCTATTCTGAAATAGGATGTCGCAGGATTTCAGGTATTCCAAGAACGAGCAGGATGTACTGCTCCGTATTTGCATTGTTCAAACCATCGGCTGAACCTTTGCATCCAAAAGTCAGTGAAGGATGTAGAGAAGGTGGCTTCGTTCTTCATCGCAATGGCCGACTTCGATCGCTTCTTCAAGATCTCGGTGGTCCACAACGAATTCGAGAACCAGCAGAAGAAGGTCTTTGGTGATGCGGTACGTACTCGGACCCTGAAAAGGATTATTGATACCAGATGGAGTTGCCAAGCTGATGCCTGTGCCGTCTTCGTCGACACCCTTGACGCAATCCTTCCGACATTGGAGGAGGTCATTTCGTCCCATCCAGCGAAGCGGGCCGGGGAAGCCGAGGGCCTTTTGTTGAAAATTGACCAAGTTTTTCTCGTGACTCTGTATACTCTTCAACGTGTCCTGGCAATGACCGATAAAGCATCTAAGCTTCTCCAGGATCCGACAGCTGACCTAAGCCAGGCTCGGTTGCTCATCGAAGAGCTTAAAAGTACCATCCAATGTTGCATCGATGACACACAAACCGATGGTACATTATGGCAAGGTATTTGGTCTGATGCGACAGCTGTGGTCGACAAGCACGAGCTGGACACATCTCGCCGTTTTGGTAAGAGAAGGCAGAAACGGCGATCTGCCGACACAGAGCTGTCTCCGGCGGAGGATGCATGCGAGCATCTTTTCCTCCCTTTCATGGAAAGTATCCTGAAAGAACTGAATGAGCGGTTCAGCTTTCACAGCTATGCAGTTTACGACGGAGTCTGCTGCTTCAATCCGCAGCACAATCTCTTTCTAGATGCCACTAAGATGGTAGCCTTCGGGGAAATTTTCGGTTGTAACCTAGACGAGTTAGCAGTAGAGCTCAGAGCTGCTACACGTGCAGTCAGTAGACGCCAAGACGAGCTCCAGGGAGACGGGGACGCGGGGCTGTCCTCAGTCCTTGATGTAGTTTCATTCTTACACGGTTTGAAGCTCGCCTGGCCGAGCCTCATGTTTCTCGATCATGTCGCTTTATGCCTCCCGACGAGCACCGCGTCATGTGAGCGTTCCTTTTCCGTTCTTAAGTTGGTTAAAACTCATTTAAGAACCACAATGGCAGATGATAGATTGAGCGCCCTGGGTGTTCTATCGATCAACAAGTCCCGTGCCAGGAAGCTCGACTTAGATAGGGTCCTGCGCGAGTTTGCGCGGGAAGAGCGCGCCATTCGTTTGTTCTGAGACCTTTTCCCTCGCGTACTATAGTATTTCATCTGAACTTATCAGGGGAGTTACTTGTTACTTGTAAATGGGTTCACTCAAATCGGCGACATATTCCGTCAAAAGAAGACTTGATTCTAGCCGTATGAAGCGCCACGCGGGACCGGGCCAAAGGCGCCCTCTCCACTCGCCCAGAGACCCATACCCCAGCAAACACATGCCCGGCCGCCGGGGGGGCAAGGCGGGGGCA